CTTGTTTAGATGGAAGCAAGTCAGTAATTAAATTACAAACTGACAACTGGAAAAATTAGCATAAAACATTTATCTTTTACATAACAATATAAATATTCAGGTATTTACACAAAACCTTATTTATTTCCAAATACCAAAATATAAAAGATTACTGACTAGTATTAGTCATCACTATATTTCTGAACTTCAAAATATTGAGTATCATGTTTATTCCAGATGGAAATCTTGATTACATCGTAGATGTTATGTAAATGGTCAATTTGTTCCACTTCAGTTCTGAATATTTCTTGAGAAATATTATTTTTTCAATAAATTGGATAGTTGAATTTTTAATATATAACTAAACACAAAATTTTATGCCTGCCTTAATTCAAATCTCAGTGAAAAAATTATCTTTAATGTGTCAATGCATCACCATATGAATCCATTTGTTTTTAGATTAAGCTTTCTGTGCACCCAACTACCAATAGTTATGTCATTTACTGTAATGTAGGCTACTGTGTTAATGTTCAGTTTAAATTATTAGCACTATGTTCTAATAAGTCATCTAGTTGAATAAATTTGAGATCTATTGAGGTTCTCTGGAAATAATGAAGTCTAATTATTTTCACTCTTTGTTAAAATTATGATGTTTCCAATGTGATGAATATATTTAGTCACATTTTATGTGACATCTATATTTCTGTATGATTGTTTGTTTAGTTCTGTGAAAACTTTAAAAAATAATCCAGAAGTATACTTCCCATTTTGATATAATTTAAATTGTTTATTTTAACATATCATACATACAAAAATAATTTTATATTTCCTTGAAATATATTATTTCTTACCGAGACCCAGAATTTGCGTTGTAGTTCTGCTGTCACTTGTAAAATAATTACTAAACTTTTGTCATGGATGAATAGATAATATGGCAAGTGATGTTATATAAATTTTTTTCCACCCATGAATGGCTTTGTTCTTAATTTATAAAATTAAGTGTACAAATAAGAGAATTTTATAATTTTGATGGCTTGTAGATGTGCAGTTGTTAACCCTCTGGCCATGGGTACAAAAGTTATAAAAACAGAAAATTTGATTGAAAGAAAATTGTAAATTATAAATTGATGGAGAAGTAGCGATTGCCACATTAATGTACTTCAAAATTTAAGTACCAGCATGATAGGAATGCTCCTGCATATACTAAAGATAAGTAATGAATGTGCTATTTGTAGATCCCATGGTCATAGGGATACAATTTATTTAAATGTCCTTCAGATGTCAACTCATTTAATTTAATTCTGCATGTTTCATTATTATAAACTTTGTATATTTTAAATTACATGAAACTGAAAATGTAATAATTTTTGTTGTGATAACTATGAATGTTATTGTCAGTGATACAAAGCCCAATATATATATTTGTACCAAAAATGTATATAATAAACCTTTTTTACCAATTATTAAATAATAAATTTTTTATATGAAATATTTAAGCATCAACACATGCATTTACATTTGAATTATTACAATTTTATGCAATTCAATAGTTTGAAATATCATGTACTTTCAGATTCAAGCTTTTACTCTTGATTAATTTATGACACACATAGGTACACATATGGAGATAATAAGAGCTTTTGTAACTGTAAGCTTTTTGTATAAAAAACTTGCATATACAGTACAAAGTCCGAAATCCAGACTCATCGGGACTTCGATTCCGGATTTGGGATTTTTTGGGATATTAGATCATCGGTTTAAATCTAGTAAGATGGCTTGTAGAAACTATAAAATTAAAAATATGAAATAATGAAGTATTTATGATCTAAAGGGTATCAAAATTTACAAAAAACTTAATATTTATTTGTTATTAAACATTTCTTTCAATTTAAGTTGCTTCATTTTTATGTGCTAATACTTTCTTTTTAATTCTGTAGACAGACATGATCTCTTGTTTAGTTACATTGTTGAAGTCCTGTAACTGCTGTTTCGAGAATTCTGACAATTTGTCAATCGAAATTTTCTTGTTTTCAGTAACTTCTCTGTCCCTTTCTATCGTTAGTGGCAATTCCTGGATCTAGAACCATACTAGAGATTTCACCATTCATTAATTGATTGATGATTGAGAAGCATTGTCATCACAATGAAAATCTTCTTTTATATCGTCTTCATTTATTACCGCTTCTCCACATTTCTTTACAAAACCTGTTAATTGGAAAATTTCACCTTTGCTTTGCAATATTCGAAAATATTTAAAATTGGCGGCTATCATCATCAAATTTAGCTATCCTTCACTATATATATTTGGCTATGCATAATGAGCATGGTGACTAAAGACAAGTTGTTCCGTTTAATTTTATCTTGCTTCTTTCGCGCACTGAGACAATTAAGCCTGAATTGTATTAGTTTAGTTATTTATTATGCTTATGTCTATTTCTTGCACATGCTTAAGGCTTATCAGAGTTCTGAATAAATAAATTTCCACATATACTTAAGCCTTATTGAGGGCCGGCGCTAGATATCTTATCGCCTGATGCAGCCCTAAATGTAATTTTTGGGTCTATGAGTATCATCAACAAAATCTATTTTTAGCATATGGAAAGAAATTTTTGGTAAATTTTTCCCTCATCAACATTTTTTAGTGCATGTAACTTAAATCTGTAATCATCGTCAAGCGTTCTTCCTAGTCTACTTAAGTGAAAATCTGAATTAAGATTTAAACTCAATTAATTCATGTCAGTTTTATTCCCAAGCAGATGAGGAAAATAATGTATACATGTGCATGTATGTATGACATCAACTTTTTCAATGTAATAAAAAATAAATTTTAAATCACTTAAAATGCATATCATAATGACAGAATTTAAAACAAGCAATTATCAAAATGAAAAACTCTATGCCTCATAACATAACATATTTTGATGTACCATGATAACATGGCTTTTCAAATGTTCTTTCCGTCTAAACTTTTTCATGCATATATTACACTGATATGGCTTTTCTCCTGTATGAATTAGCATATGTCGCCGTACATGATGAACATTTTTAGAGAAATAATTACAAACTGTACAATGATGCAGTTGATTAGAACTTTTTACATAATTCTCCACTTGAAATGATGCTTGGTTAGTGAAAGTTATTCCTAGGGAAAATAATTTAGCAATTAAAAATATACAAAAAGAAAAATAAAAATTTTCAAAATTATTATATAAAAATCACATATACAAAACTGTTTGAGATTAACAGAATTTTAGAATTTCTAAAAGAAAGGAAAAAAAAAAGATTACATGGAAATCAAGAGACTTTAGGGGCTGTAAAATCTAGGCTTTTAGGTCTGGGCCTTATTGGCCCTACACAGTGATCAGACCTTTTGTTATATATATTGACCTTTAATTTAGAATTTATTTACTGTTAGCAACGAAATGTTAACAGTTATATGTGTTTATAAAAGGTTACCATACTCCTTTATTATTCAATTATTGACATAAAAAATTCTTTAAGCATCACTACATGAGTCATTACTCAAGTTGTCATGTTTTGATAAACATGCGGTGATGAAAGGAAAGTATAATAAATAATCATTCGCCATGTTGGTGTCAGATCAATGATGTATCTATGTGGAATGTTTCGGTTTGAGATGTGTGCAAGCAGATATGCAGCAACAGAGCCAAATTACTGATTGTACAAATTTATGCTAAAATGATTGTTTCTTCAATAAGAAGGTATTTTATTTACTGTCGAAGTGAAATTAAGAATCAGAACTCTCCAGATGCTTTATTATGCACGGAGGGGGGAATCAAATGCGCATGCTGTAAAGCCTACGAAAAGAAAGTTATTGGTGGTTTTGAGGTCCGGATTTTAGATCATTCCGAATAATGGACGTCCAGATTTCGGATTTTGTACTGTATTTGGGTTCAACAGACACGAAAAATCAGCCATACTCTCGACAGGATATGAACCACGGATTTTTCAAGTTAACATTTACACTACTACAACAGGGATGGGGGAATGCAATAATTCCTTACATTCTTCTCCAGTTAAAAGGCAACTAGGAAAAGATGTGAGATCCAAGCGATCAGATGTAGGTGGTGACGAGTTATCGTTCATTATATTCTAGCCCGAACGCCACTGTAACAAGCAATTTTGCATATCGAACCAGGAAACATGTACAAGCAGTTATAGTCTCGATGGGTCCAGACCACTGAGTTAACACTGAAGCTACAAGCATTTCAATTCCATTAATTTGTTCGCTACAATTGATTTATTTGAATTTTCAACTTTCCTAAATTTACAGTAGTAATCCCATATTGCTCTTAACCTTGGCGTAAATTGAATGTGTGTTCCATTTCTAAACTATTTAGCTTTCCTAAAATTTTAACTATGTATCTTTTATGAGTTTAAATTCTTTAAGAATGATTGACTTATACATTCGTAATTCCGCATTTCTTCACTCTCAATGTTAACAGATTCAGTGCTTTTTCTCCTAATATATTAAGTAATATTTCTACTTTCATACTGATAGGAATGTTCTTATTTTTGAATGCCATTTCTAATGAGGTAAGGAATATTTATTTTTTACATTATCTCCACATAGGAAGCTAATGAATGCATACAATAATGTTACACAAAGTAACACTTTAATGCAGGATTAAAAGAAAAATATATTGTTCTATTAAAAAACTGTTAATAAATGTCATCAATTAGTGTCCTACAGGATTATTATAAACTATTGGTTACCAAATTATTTGCTTTTGATCCTCAGTGTTTCTCTCATCTTCCACATTTAACACCAATATTTTTTTTTAACTATTACTTCTGAATTTCCATCTAATGAAAATGTATAGACTAAGTTTGAAAATAATATACTTAAGCCATAATACAAAAACTCCTTCTAATAAATATTAAACAAGAAAAGGAACCAAAATTTATATTTACTCTTTTTATGAATAAATGACAAACTATTCTATTCAACTACAAAAATAAATTTTATTATATATTATACATATTTGTACATTATATATATTATATATATATATATATATATATATTATACACCATTTTTATAGTAATAAAATTCCTTAAAACAATAGCAATATAAATTAAATTGTTATCATGTGGTCCAGTTTGGATGGTAGGCCATGGGCCACTTGAAGAGGGTGAGTTGGATAAATATCTATGGGCAGATCCCATACCATAGTTTGTACATCTAAAGTGGCTGGACCTTGCCAAGAAATATTCTCAGATGAGCTACTAGCTTCTGGCATCGTAGGCAGTGCATTAGTTGTCACAAATTCAAAATGTAGCATCCATTTTAATGATACTGAAAAGAAAATGATTTCAGTTAAATAAAGCTATAGTTAGTTCGGATAATTGTAAACTGAATGATGTCACGTAACTTTAATTCTATTAAGTTTTTAAAAATTTTCATTTAACAAAATTTTTATGTACCTACTAGAATATGAATTTATATCTTAATGAATACATTTAAACATCGTTTCAATTTTTTTCTGATTTCCAACAACTGTTTATCAAATGACAAACTCTTTCCTATTATATGATATAATAAATATTGTTACAAAATAATAATCAAACAGAGATTACTTCTGCATTTCTTCTTTTTTAATCAGGAAGCATTATTGCAAATATTCGATATTAACCAATAACTGAACTAAACTGAAGAATACTAGACACTAACCAATAAACAGAATAGAGTAAGACCAGATGTTGTGCATTCTCACACCATCTGGGCACACGAGCTAAGGGACAGGGTCAATGCTAGACTTTTAGGTATTGATGCAATCTCTGCAACTCCAAAAATTTACCACTTGATGCCTCCTTAAATTCTAAAAAATTTGCTATCCCTAAATTCTGCCTCAACTGCACCTGCCCTACATAGGATAGGTAGATATGCAAATGTCAAAGCATATCTACCTATCCTATGTAGCATATGTATCCTATGTATCCTATGCAAATTTTAGACGAAATGTTTTTCTCTTTCAAAATAATTATGCTGGGTAAAATCCTGAATGAGGCTTTCTCATTGTCTACATATAGTCAATAAAATGAAATCAAGAATAATTAAGTATTATTAATAACAAAATTTTTAAAACTACACATAAAATTGCTGCTGATAATAGATAATGAATTCATGTACAATTTAAGAGATGAATACAATGACACTCCTTGATGAAAAGTGAGAAGTCAAATATGACTCAAAATGCATACAAAATATGACAAATGCAACATATAATTTACGGAGTTTGGTGTTCTTTGGTAGCATAAACTGGTATCGAACTCCTAACATATGTAGAGTGACTTCTTTGTGTGTCTGAAAAGAACTGGAAAGTCTTTAGAAGGTTTAAGAAACCTTTTTATTAAATCAGAGTTGGAACATAAACACATGACTCATGCTTAACAAGCTTAACCACCACTTGTGGCAAGTAACAGTCCAGTTCAAGATTTAAAATTAAGTCTAGCAGCCAAAGACTACACAATTAATTTCACGTGAAGTTGGCTCAAACTTCTTGCCAGAGTAACAATTTAACTGTCCGCAACTATAACACAAAACTAATGAATATAATCTTATCTGAGCTAGCAGAAACCTAGTAATGTGGCCTCGAGAAGTAGATATACTGTCTTAAAATCAGAAAACCCTAACTTAAATACTTTTCAAATTAAATTTGCATTCTGGTAGGGAATCAGAAAGAAGTGACAGTAATGATCTAGATCATAAAAATATTGGTTATGTAAAATTATAATAAACTTACAAATTTTCTTACTTCATTTTTTATCATTTTGTTAAACTTGATTACTATTTCTTGATTTTGCAGTCCATAAAAGTAATAGTCAGTAACTAATTAAGTTAGCCTGCAAACTTCAACATAGCATTATTTTGTGGCCTGGAAATCTATTTGCCTTGTTTTATGTGAAAACACATAATGTTTTTGAAAAATGGTAAAATGATCCTGTGGATCACTTAAGCCTGGGTCTCACTTATCACACTGTGAAGTTATCCATCATTCAAAACTGATTACACTGCATACCAAAATTTAATATATTCTACCTAATTTTTAGAAAGACCAAAAAGGAAAATTATGAAATAGAAGATGAATATGAGAAATAAGCAAAAGAATACAGGTTCATCTTTTGTCTTATTTACATAATATGACTCAGTTCATTGCAGTATTCATTTTTATATTTTAATTCAGCATTCTTGGACTACTATTAAAAATTTAAGAACTGATAATCTTATATCACTAGTTCTCTTAGATTTCTATTATTATTCAAAAAATGAAGTGAAGATTTGTTATACTAACGAGTCAGACATTACTACTGATGATTTTATCACTTAAATCTGTATGTTATTATGGCAAAATTAATATGAATCTCTCTCTAATTTTCAATATGTTTTAATATTATATATCATAAATGCTCTAAATTCTACTGAAAATCCATAAGCTGGTTTAAATGTATTGTGGTAAGAAAAGTTTTGCTATTTATTAAAGCATATTATGTAACATTCCCACTCCTTAAAGGAAAAAAGTATCAGGAAAATTCAGAATACTTCACAATAAGTAAAAATATCAATATTGAAGAGAAGTTTAATCATTAAAAAAACATAAATCTAAATGTTTTTTTACAAGCACACAGAATATAAAAATTAATGTTGAAAAAGAAATAAATAATTTATATTTAGCTATGAAATATGTAAATACATCAGCATAAGTTATAGTAAGTAAAACAGAAATCATGAAATTGATTATAATATATGGTACATGCTTTACATGTTACTTTATTTACTGTTAGAAATATATACAAGATTTAAAAGTATATACAATTTTATATAAAAAAATTATTATTAAAATTTATTTTTTAAAAAAGATAGTAGATATACTGATTAGAATTTTTTTTTTTTTTTAAATTACAGAATGAATTTGAAAAGAACTGAAAATAGTTTTTCCTTTTTTTCTATACAGTAAATCTTTGGTGTAACGTGGGTTTTACTTTATTAACATATTGCATATACAGCAAAATCGCATTCCACAAAATTTCTATGGAATTATTAGGTATACTTCAGGTTACGAAAGTATGTATAATTTATACAAACCTAAATATTATTGTAATTAAAAGGACAATGCTTGTTCCTGTGCCTTTTATAACAATTCGTTTAATTTCTTGTACATTGTTTAATCTTCTTCACTATTGGCTGGTGTTATAACTTCATTCAATTCTTAATCTGTCACTTCAGATCATAATTCTTGACTAATTCTTTAATTTATCCATCTTCTATATCTGAAGGTCCTTCACCTATTGCTTTTGTAATTTGTACAATTTCCTTGGCTTCATTTTCAATCTATGAAATGCTTTAAAATTGTTGATAACTTCTGACTACAGCTGATGCCAGCAAGCATTCATCATTGTGATTTTTCTATCCATGGGTTCGATTAAGTCAGTGGTCTTCAGAGGAAGGAATAAAACTTCTACATTTGGATGCAATGCTGTTAGGGCTTCAGCATCGTGCCTTAGAGCATTATTGAAAATAAGGAAAGTAAACTAAGTAATGTTTTAAATTCTTGAATGAATGGATTTTCAAACCAGTCATTAAAGAGGATTACAATACTGTCGATGCTCTGCAGCATATTGCATATAATTGAAACTTCCGAGTTGGACAAATTAAATGGAGACAATTAAGAAAATGCATACATGCAAAACTGCATTAAATTGTATTAATTTTCCTCCTAACAAAGACATACAGGTAAATACTACTACATTTGAGGGACAAAATTAAGAGATGGAAAACGTTTCCTCACATTTCTCCTAAAATACCATACAAAACCTGGACAATTGGTTGCCATATAATATCACCACAGAGATGGTGTCACTGAGATGAATTTATGTATTCTTGTGGGTGTTGCTTTGTTGGAAGGAATTATAAAAGTGGTGAGTCTTTATCCAGCTGTTCATCTCATTCCCTTGTGCAACATGGTAGTGATTTTTATTATCTTTCTTGAACAATCTTGTTGTTTTTGCTGTTTTTTGGGTGAAATGAGCACACATTATCGCTTAGACAAAGGTATGCAACACCAAATGTCATCTCTAATTTATGGAATCAGTTTAGAAACAGTGGGACAGTGTTCAGAAAATCAAGACAAGGTCTCCAAGGAGCCAAGGCGACCAATGACGGCCAGTATTTGGTACTTTCAGCCAAATGCCAAAGAGTGTCTACAGCCACATAACATAACCTGTCTCGTGACCTCGCTACTGCCCCAGGAACATCAGTTTCATGGAAGACAATTGCTGAAGGCTCCATGAGACAGGACTGTATGCCAGAAAGCCTGCTATTTGCATACCATTCACTCCCTCTAACAAAAGAGTGTTCACCAACACTAGTCACAGCTTCAATGGGCTGATTCTTGGCCATTATTGATATAGACAGAACATGGGACCCGATACCATACCAGCCACATCATAGAAAGGAACCAATATGGTGGTGGAGGAGGGATGGTCTGGACAGGGATCATGAAAGATACCTGTACACCACTCCATGTGTTTGACACTGTTTTCGTAAATGCCCAGAAGTACAAGTAGAAGATCCTAGAGCCCTATGTGTAACTTTTCAGAGGCACTATTGGCCCTGAATTTAATTTTATGAATGACAGTGCACAAATACATTGGGCCCACCTGGTTGATGTTTATTTGGAAAACGAGAACATTTACCAAATGGATTGGCCAGCCAAATCTCCTGACCATAATCCAATTGAACTTGCTTAGGATGCTCTTGGGAGGGCTACTGCAATACACCAACCCCCACCCAGAACCATTCAGGAGTTAACAACTGCTCTAGTGAAGGAGTGGGTGGAACTTCCACAGAGACTCCTGAACTCTCTAATTAACAGCATGGCTATTTGTTATGCATGTTATCTATCTTTCAGAGGCAACCGCACACCCAACTTGGCACATTTTCAGTGCCATCTTTCAAACTCAAATTTGGACCACATCAGACACTTGGCTGAAACTCATGCTAATGAACGACATTTTCATTGCTGTTTTGTACACATAATTTTCATACAATGAATTATAGCCATACCTAATTTCATTTACTTCTACCCGGTATTTCTCGAGATATTTGGGAAAAAGTCTTAATTTTGTCCACCAGTACATTTAGGAAGTTTTAATTTAAAAAAAAAAAGGCCAAAGTTTGATTAAGCAGTCTTTTCTGTGGGGGCACTGAAAATTATTGCTCAATATCCAATATATACATGTAGAGGTGAAAAAAAAAACATTAGAATGAAAGATTTAATAGTTCAAAAATATTAAATTATCACGTGCTAATTTTAAAATAAGAAAAAAAAGAGGGGGGGGGGAACAAAGCAAAGCCATAAATAACAAAAATTTAAATATATGGCAATGTTACAAAATATTATTACTATTCAATTCATAACTGGTATTTTACTGGATGCTTGCTATATTACTCAAAAATTAATTACATTCCATACTTGATAAAATTCATTATCAGTATATATAAAAAATCAATGAAGAGAATATATAATTTTTCTACATGTATTATCATGCCAGTTGGGACTTTTGGAAGGTGGTAAATATTACTTTTATTAACTGGCATGATAATTTCAATTTGTGAAAATTAAATTATTTTGATTAAAGCAAAAATCAACTGCAGTATTCTCTTTGTATCTTATATCATTTTTTCAAGTGAATTGTTTTTAAACTTTGCAAAAATTTCTTTGCAAAGACCTATTCACATACATTTTCAAAGAAAAATTACCTTCTTGTGGAAGAAAAAAAATATGCACACGTAAAACGTTATATACTGTAATATAATATGCATAAATAAACAGTTATATTTTTCCTGCAATTAAAACCACATACAATAATACTCTTAATCATGAAGAAAGCAAATTCATTTTAAATAAAAATTTAATTTTATACACTTACCAATATTAGTACTAAAAGCTGGGGTAATTGTTAATGGAATAGGAAGTATGATTTGAGTGAGGCTCACATGTAAAGAAAATTCATGGTGCTTATTATATGCAACTGTTGTAACATTCTGTTTTGCTCTACCCTTGCAATTTTCTTGTAACTCTTCTTCACTGACTAATGTAACTGAAAACTGTAATTATAACATGAAAAAAAAATCAAATATGAACATCTAATATATTACATTATTACATATTTACCATGGCTGTTATATGACAGCATTACAAACTTACAAAACATAATATATGATTATTATCGAAGTTTTTAAAGTAGAAAATTACAAAACAAATATTTGTACAAAATGTCGTACATTTTAGAATTGAAAAGACAGTAAGAAGATGTTTCCCACACATACACACACACACACAAATAAATAAATGGAGAGATATTCAGACTTAAGATAGAATTTAAATTTCTTATATATACTGTATAGTTATAGCAAATACTTTCTATAATACATATACATACAATTTAACTATTACAGTCAAAAGTCTTTAATCTGGACATCCATAAACCGGAATGATCTATAATCCGGACCTCAAAGCTACAAACTTTCTGCGCATGCGTCAACGCATAAATGATGCTAAAGCAAAGTTTAAAGTTTGAAAAAAAAATTAAACATTTAGCAGTAGTAGCAATAAAAGCTCCCTGAGATATCATGTTGTGCAGACATTGAAGACTTAAAGGTTTCAAATTTAACCAATTTATTAACAATATAATAAAGAATAAAAACACAGAAAATAAATTTAAACAATATCAGAGTCTTAGGAAAAATATAATATAACCATCATTCATCAAATAATATTTTTACCTGGTCTCCAAAACACTGGCATTCAATACAAACAAAAATGTCCTAAACATTAATTAACATTAATTATGCAGCCTAAAAATGAAGTTGGCTACACATTCAAAGCGTCCATGATCAATGGTTGAGAAAACACCTGAAAATTTAAGTGAAGTTCTTGAAAGCACTTAAAACCGGCCTAACTCCGTTTGCACGAGGAATCGCCGCTCACGTATTTTAAATGCCTCCTTTATTGAAGAACATGGATGCCGCCCATGGCAGTCACTCACATGGTAGCCTCTGGAACCAAGGAATTTATTCCGGAACAATAATCTTGTGGACATGAACCAAGGAACCCCATTCTGGAAAAACCATCCCGCGGACAGGCACCACGGAACTTTATTCAGAAACAGCCCTCCCGCAAACCGGAACCAAGGCACTTTATTAACCGGACTGCATGCATCCTTCTGAAGGGGCTGGAAACCGCTCACTCAAGTGCCAGGAAAGCAGGAACTAGAAGAAGGAGAACTAGAAGGGTTGAGCCAGAGCGACGCAAGATACTTATAGCAGAAGTAGGAATGACGTCATCTCACGGCAACCAATCAGCTATCGGCGCGAATCGGCTTTTCAGATGACGTAACATCACGTTTCATTTTTGCATTTCAATTAGGTTGAAACAGTCCGTTCTCAATGCAAACAGTGGTAGCAAGAAAAAGAAGTAGAAGTAACTACTATATTACATTAAAATAAGAACTAAACTAAATAAACATTTCAAGGAGGAGAGATGATGCAGTAAAAGGTTTACAATAAGCTATATTTTCCAACAATAATAACCTCCCGCATGCGCATAATATGTTTACGCATGCGCGTTTAATGTATTACGGACAGCATAAGCTTAAACAGCTTAGGACAGCATAAAATTATCTAATTATCTATTTCAGTTAATGCTGCAGATTGCATTATTCCTTAATCTTCTAATTGGATCCGGCTTATTATTTTTTGCAGATTGTTAGAGCAATTTTATAAAAGTAAGCTTGAACTTTCGATTATGTCAAAAAGAATTTCCGATTCTGGAGCTACCAAAGGATCTACAAAGCGAAAACATGTTCCGATGTCCATCAAACAAAAAGTGGAATTGCTGCAAAAAAATGGATAAAGGCATATCCTTTGATTCTCTAATCATTTCGACATATGTTTATCAATTTCACACTGCTCTGCGGGGGGGGGGACGAAACGGCGCGCAATGAACTGGAAGTTGATTTGTCAGCACAATCCTTATCTTCAGGGCAGATGTTAGTATTTCATCTTGATGTACTCTGTCTTTGATATGATTTAAATCAAATTCCTCATCATTATAAATATCACAAATACACATCAAATAGTTTTCTGGTTGCTATGCTATTTTCTAATTTCGACTATGCTTAATGTATGCTTTACGCATGTGCGCGTTGAAAGAAATGTTTAATAAAGTAAACAAATAAATATAAAGCTTTTTTTTTTTTTTTTTTTGTAAATTTTGATACCCTTTAGATCATAATTGCTCTTTATTTCATAAATTACAGTTTCATATTTTTAATTTTATAATTTCTGCATGCCATCTTACCAGATTTAAACTGATGATCTATAATCCGGAAAAACCGATAATCTGGAATCGACGAAGTACAGATGAGTCCAGATTAAAGACTTTTGACTGTAATAATAAACTAACAAAATTTCCAAACTCATTTGTATCATATATTTCACTATTTTTTAATCTGTCCTTTTGAAATCTTTTATGGTCAACTGTAAATAAGAATATAATAGCTTTTTATAATGGGAATCTTACCTGAACACATTTTACAGTAGCTTTACTGAAGTCAAATACTCCAATAATATCTTCCCCTAGCCGATAAGCAGATTTGAGCAAGCAAAATCTAACAACTTTCCCATTTTGATTGGTGATATTGTAATAACCTTTTAAAAATATGATAATAAATTTCAGTATTTAAATATTTAATAATCACACTTATAAAAACAAAAACAAAATAAATAAACTACAATCAGAGATTTTTAAAAGCAAAGTGTAAAATTAAACAATTAATTTAAATGCATTAAATGTTTTAGGATATTGCACATTTAATGATGGCTGCTTAATCTACTTTATTAGCAATCTATAAATAAATACATAGTCTGTGGATAAAAAATCTGAAAATCACATAAAAAAAATTAGTAGCATGATTAAATTTAATATGCAGATAATTTTTAGATACATAGGTGATAAAAACTGGGCAGCTCAATTCATATATGAGAAGCACCACTCATTTGATATGCTGCAATTAGTGAACAAAAATTCAAAAGCAAATTCAGTATCACCTGATAATGCTAGCCAAAGCTACAAATTTTACACAAAAGGGAGTCGTCGTTCGGTGTTTAATTGCCGGTAAAACTCTTTCTCATGGCTATTTTTAAGAAGTATTCTGCATTGAACTTCCACTCTGATCACACTGATAAAAAGGAATTTATCAGTCTCTCATTTTCACCAACACAGCTATGTGCGTTGCAATCTACACAGCTGTTGTTGTGTTTTTACTCCCATCCTAAAAGTCCAACTCTGAGACATTAACAACCAAGACTAAATTAATAACGATTATAATAGGTCCTTTTAAATACTTTGATATTAAACTTTATACACAACAACTTCTATAATTTTTTAAAATTTTATTATAGAAATAAAAAATCTTCCTGGGTGATTTTTAATTTACTAACTTGGATTTCGTCGAGCAGTAATGGCTTCTAATAGCTGCAAAGTTGAAGAAATGGTAGGCTGTTTCTGCTGACTTTGAAGAAATGGATTAGCAGGTGCAACCTGTAATTCTTCACTTTCAGCTAATAAATGACTATCTGGAACACCTAGAAATAAAAATAGAAAGGTTTCAGACCAGTACTACATACAGCAGAATAATTTATGTAACTGCATCCCAAAATTCTTTAAGCTGCAATATCAAATTATTATATATTTTTGATGATAAATAAATAATTAACTAAGAGTCCTTAGTAAGAACTTAATTATCTGTTATTCTTATTTCTTTCTCTCTATATACATACTGGATGCCACATAAATTACATAATGTGGGATTCCTCAGCTGGAGTATAACAATACCCTGAAATTACATGATAGGTGGAACCAACAGAACAGGCATTAAACTGAGATCTAAATTTGCAAACAAATACATACGAATTTCAATTAAATAGGGCCAAAGCTAAAAATACATTTGTTTAGGAAAAAAGTGTAGTTTTCATTTATAGCAGTATAAAATGTATTAAAATAAACGTGCTACATAAAAGAGTTTGCCTGGTGCTAATGGTTTCATAAAACTACTCAGCACTGTGTGGCATTGTACATGAACGCAATTTTAACTCATACATGACTTTCTGAAAAGGGGTGTGGAGTGCTTTGATGTAAATCTTTTCTTTATAAAGAGTTCTGATAAATATAGACAAAGTAACATGTCCTTTATCAGCATTTTTTGAAAGCAAATTAGTTATATGTAAAATAAAATATAGGAAATAAGGTGTTGAATGACTTTGAATTCACATAAGTTAGATGTAAAACTGCACATAAAAAAATGACTCACATTTGAATTATACTTCTATGATCTTCAAATTCTAAGAAAAATGCAAAAGAAAATGACATCAGTACATGCATCTGACTGTATGCAAGAACAGAGCTCAAAATGACCACCACACATATTGAGACATGTTTAACACTGTGAAATGGCTGACTGATCAAGATTTAACAGCCTGTGATCACAAAAGTGAATGGAGCATGGAAAGTAAGTAAGTAGAGTTCAATACACTTGATTCCTTCAGAACAGCTCCACAGAAAGAAATACACAGGTGCCAAGTCCAATGAAAATGGGTGCCACATATTTGGACCCCTCTTCCCAATCCCAAAATTGATTACTGTAAAAGCCCTTATTTTCGCGGGCCGTAATTTTCACAAAAATGAATATATCGGTGATTTCACGAGGTGAAAAGTTCGAGAATTTTATATGAACAGTCATCGACAAAAATGTTGTTCCCCCTGAGATGTTCGTTAACTTTGATCAGACAAATGCAAAGTTTGTGCCTACATCTAATTATACACTGGAAGAAGGTGGTTCAAAACAAGTGTCTGTAATCGGCATGGAAGATAAAAAGAGAGATGACTGTTTTGTTAGCATGTTCTCTTGCTGGAAACCTACTTCCACCACAATTGTTGTTTTCTGGAAAAAAAACAAATTGTCATCCAAAGTTTACATTTCCCGCGGAGACGTGTGGCACATCGATTCGCACTGGAGTAATACTGACACAATGATTTGATACATCGAGAATATTCTTGTACCTTATTACGACAAGCATAGAGAGCTTCTCGGGCTAGTTCCAGAACAACCTGGTGTAGCATTTTCGACGTTTTTAAGACACACCAAGATACTCTTTTTCTGACTGAACTAGAGAAGAGGAATATTATCCCAGTTTTTGTGCCCGATTCCTGCACAGGAGAGCTCCAACCTTTGGACTTAACTGTAAATGGCGAGTTCAAGCGTTTGCTCAAGAATGAATTTATTGAGTGGTATTCTAATGAGCTTCAATTTCTAGAGCAAAAAGAATCTGTGGACTTGCGAATATCACGATTAAAACCGATTCATGCTTCTTGGCTTGTGCGCATATTTAACAGTATTGAAGCCAAACATGAGATAATTTTGAATGGCTTCAAAGAAGCTGATATAAATAGTATTCTAAGTGAATGAGCTGCCTTCTATTAATTTTATTGTTTAATATTTGAGAAATATAGTTGTATATTATTCAAAAAATAGTTATAAGAAAGAAAGTTGTAAAGAAAAAGCTTGTAACTGTGCAATAAATCATTAAATTTTGGGTATCTGTATCCAACCAATCACATAGTAACACAAAAGAGTGAAATGTGTTAACATTCAGGAGAGCTGAAATGTATTGGTGTCTCCATTATGCTGAAATCATTGACTACATAATATGGATGAGTCACATTTGAACATACAAACATTTATGTATGTATTTATGTATATAATGGATCTTACTTAATGGAAAGTTCTGTTGTTTTTCAAATCGAAGCATACTATCTTATAACTATTTAGTTACTGCTTATGATGAGTGACCATGATAAAAAAAAATGTTTAAATATAGTCTTTTCTGCTTATATTGTGCAATTTTAACATAATAAGGAAGCTTCAACTTTTGCTGCCACATCTGGAACAGTTTTCCTCTGGACACTTATAAAAGTGAAGACAGGGTATACCATTTTGCATGCCAAAGGTGTAGCAATGCGGTATTAGGAAGGTGTTAAACTTCCTTGGTGTACAGAGCTACCTCTTCAAATAGAAGTAATTTTACACCGTTTTGTGTCAGGTGTGTGCATGTATGTGTGTATATATATACATATGTATGTGTGTGTGTGTAGAGAGAGAAAGCAAGTGAAAGAGTTAACAAAAAATGCAAAATTATAATTCTATACAATAAATATGAAAATTAGGAATAAAATGTAATGTCATAACACTCAGCACGAATCTCAAAATTGAAACAGCAAGTGCATATAAAATATATTACAAACTGTACGTTTTATTTTAACTCACAGAAATATTAAAGATACAATATTGTTGCGCTTTTCTTTTCTGACACCAGTTGTTACGTTTACTCTTCCTTCACGTTCTACAGGGTTCGTGTGGATTTGAAATGAATAATGATGACACTTGATGAAGTTATCGAAACACACTTTATTGGCCGGTATTAATCAGAATAGCTCCAAAATCTCGTTTACAGTCATCTAACTATTATAAACACACTGACACGATCAGCGACACAGCTTTCAGGTTACCAAGCTATCACAGTGGAGACAGCTTCACTGCAAAGCACCAGAGTACAGCTTCCGATTCTGCTTGGTCGTTCTCGGAACTCCATGCTACAACTCACGATGCAATCGGCGATACACAGAGCACAGCTCCCGACTCTTCGGTTCAGTCATTCCCGGAGCTCAACACACTATCTCGACAATGCACTAACCGCAATACACTACGAGACTCTTTCGGTGCCCTCGATGACCCACTCGGCACTCGCTACCCGGCGGTCAACTCGATTGACTCCGCACGGACTGACTCGCTAGACGAGACACCAACTCGATACTAACTATCTTGCACTCTCGAAAACGAGGCACACACTCCCTGACTGTGGACCAGCAGGGTTTATATAGCTTTCAGCTTGTGTTTGAGAACATTCTGGGCTAAGCCGGTAAGAATTCGTTCCAGAAGGTTCTCCAACTGTCCATGGTATATCGCCAATTTTGTCGCCAAATAGGCGATTTTTTGCCAAATGTGGCAACCCTGCATTCACTTGTCATTTATGGCAACCCTAAAACTGCTTTGCGGGGAAGCCATCTTACCGTGCCTGTACATTTTGTAACAATATAATATTTTGGCAAGTCATTTCAATATAAAGAGGAAAAAAACCATACCGTATAAAACAAGCACTCTTATGGGTATTTTCAACAGTTTGATAACTGCATTTACTCGTTGAGTTCCAACAGTGATTTTGTATGCATATTTAACGCACTGTCCTCTATAAGATGGAGGGGCATTATTAGGAATTGTTTCTCGGTAGACATCTAGAAATAAAAAATACAAAATTATAACCATATTTCACAAGGCAATGATTAAATTTTAAACTTTATTAATATCATGTATGTTATTAATGTCTTTTATACAAATGTTAGTATTAGATAAAGTGCTAATAATAACTAATGCAATGCTATGATTTTGGGGTAATGAAATTCTCATTCAAAATTTCAAAATTAAAAAATTTACATTATCAAAATTCATAGAACAACAGACTTAAAATCCGTTTCAAACAGAAAGAACATTTTCAAATTCGAAAAAAGATAACAGTAAGAAATAAAAATGATTGTAGTAATAATCTGAATGTTCTAATCAATAGCAAAAACTTAATTCTGAACTAGAAAAAAAAGTCTTTAAGACAATTTTCCATGATTTAAAAATTTATACAGATATTAAGAGTAAAATTAGTATCCTTTGGTTTCCTTGAAAACATGAGGCCCTTAAATTAACAAAGAAAAATACATATACACTAACCTACCAGAAATTTAATGTTTCCAATTTCTTCTATTTTCTAGGACACTAAAATGTTGCTTATACAGGTGAACATCTTAAACTGATGATACCAGATATGAAGGTTTAGTATTCAGTATTGAAATATGGATGTCCAATATCCAGAATGAATTAACATTTGCACATCTGAATTACCAGGGAAAAAAAAACTTGTTTTTCCTTACAAAATCCCGGAATGGGAAATATAATACTCAGAATGAAGTGTGCTGCAAAAGCCTTTTTTCTCCCAACTAATGAGACTTTTATACTTTCAAACATCACCTGGTATTATAAGAAAATGTATATTCTTTATACAAAATAAATAAAAAATATTTTTTGAGTTTTCTTAAAAAAATAATACAAAATATTTTTAATTTTATGATTTCTACATGTCATCTAACAGGTTTAAACGTATGATCTAAAATGAAATGTTAAAATTTCTGAAATCCAGAATCGCCAGTCCCAACAATTCCAAATTTCACACTTATTATCTCTTTAAAAAGCCAAAACTTATAATTATCAATTTTTATATTTTATTCCTGTATGGATCTAAGTTTTTCTTCTTTACAGTATTTAACACTTTTAAGATACATATATATATGTACGATAAAAAATATATAAATCAAAATTATAATTTAAACTAATGGTAACCCTTTAATTCTCCCTCTCTGTTTTACATATCGTAATAACTTTTCTGAACTGTGTCATTTCTAGATCATTCCATTTTGCATGGCTTGCGCAGCACTGATGATGTAATAATTGGGATTTGAAACTTTTAACTCAAAACAAAATCTTTCTTTTTGTGTGCCTTCATACTGGATAACTACACACTTTATCTTAGATGCTATTTTATTCTGCTCTGTCCTATTGCAACAATATCAAATATGTAAATTTTCTAAAATAATTACGACTAGAGTGCCAAGTGAAGTATGTGGCCACAAATGTCAATTGCAGGTAAAGATGGAATTAAAACTGTCTCGACTGCCAAGTTTTTTAGATATTACAATTTTAGATAACATTATTAACATACTATGCACTCAGAATGCATCCTCTTCAATACGGATCTACGATCTATAATATCTAAGAATTATGCATCACCACTGCTCCGTCTTTTTCTTGTTTTAATTAGTAATGCATTCTCACTCCCGACTGCCTAGTAACACTTTTAATTCACTGTATATTTTTTTTTTTCTAGGATAGGATAATCTTTCTTAAAATATTTTTTTAATGTGTGTGTGTGTATATATATATCTATATATATATACAATCAAAAGTCGTTAATTCGGACACCCATAATCCGGTTCAATCAAAGCTAAAATCTTTCTGCGCATGCGCCGAGTTGACGCATGCGCATAGGCGTTTTACGCGTGCGCGCAAGACATTTACGACTGCGCATATGCTTCTGCGCAAGCGCAGAATACGTTTTCGCGTGCACGTTTGATGTATAACAGACGGTATAAGCTAAAATTATCTAATTATCTATTTCAGTTAATGTTGATGATTGCGTTGTTCCTTAATCTTCGAATTGGATCCAGCTTATTATTTTTTGCAGACTGTAAGAGCAATTTTATAAAAGTAAGCTTGAACTTTCGATTATGTCAAATAGAATTTCCGATGCTGGAGCTCCCAAAGGATCTAGAAAACGAAAGTATGTTTCGATGTCCATCAAACAAAAAACGAATTGCTACAAAAAATGGATAAAGGCATATCCTTTGTTTATCTAACCATTCCAAAATCTGTTTATCAATTTCACACTGCTCTGCGCGGGGGAGGGGGACGTCGCGGTGCGTAATGAACTGGAAGTTGATCTGTCAGCACTATCCTTATCTTCAGGGCAGATGTTTTTATTTTATTCAGCTTATAATTCCTTACTAAATGTAATATTTAATATTGATGTACTCCGTCTTTGATATGATTTAAATCAAATTCCTCGTCATTATAAATATCACGAATACAAATCAAATAGTTTTCTGTTTGCAATTTTCTAATTTCTGCTATGCATAAGGTATGCTTTACGCATGCGCGCGTTGAAAGAAATGTTTAATAAAGTAAACAAATAAATATTAAGCTTCTTTTTTTGTAAATTTTGATACTCTTTAGATCATAATTGCTCATTATTTTATAAATTACGGTTTCATATTTTTAATTTTATAATTTCTTCATGCCATCTTACCAGATTTAAACTGATGATCTATAATCAGGAAACGCCGAAGTCCCGACGAGTCCGGATTAAAGACTTTTGACTGTATATATTAACTACTCACTATTTCGGATACTCTGAGCTTTTGTGGAGAAATCCTCTTAGAGAAAAATATGATTACTGGTATTATCAGTTATCGATCTGCATAATGACTTTTATCACACTCCAGGTACTAAATGGCAATTAAAGCAAAATATTAAAACAGAACTGGAAGATGGTGTTTATTTATGAAACTATAAATTAACTACACTAAATAATACACTATGAAACAAAAACTTGAAATTTGAAAATATTTGCTTCATAATTAATTTTCAAAAATACTGTTAAGTAAATAATAATTTAAAATATGAAAAAGAGATGATATGGATAAAGCATAAATTCTTTTTGCTTAATAACTTTAAAAAGAATTTCTGCTTTCAAAATATTCATTCAATGAAGTTAGGCTTCTTGATTTTATTTTTATTAATCAAATACCTTTCTAAAGCCATAATATAAACTTCATAAAGTAAATTAACATGTTATTAGTTTTAAACTGCAATTTAATTGCTTTGTTTTGAGAATTTACAGCTTTAATTACAAGAACAGAAGTTTTAAGATAACAAATATTTTCATCTTTCTTGAGCAAAATTTCTGTCAGTTCTTAATTAAAAGACTTATATCAGCAAACCTCTCAAGATGTTTTTCTCCCAGTTGGAATTCAATGCAAATAAGTATATTATAACTGACACACTCCTTACATTAGTATGAAAATAATTCTGAATAAATCTTTCCCATTTCAGCATCACACATCTATGCTCAATATAATCTATAACAACTTTGAATATCTATTGCAGTAAGGCTCAGATTTCAGATACACTATTCTGCAGTTGTTGAAGGATCTAAGGTTTACTTTTCTGCACTTTTCCTTCGAAACAACTCCATAAAATAATAATAATAATAATAATAAACTCAAGATATTAATTTTGAGGATTGTAATAGAAATTAAATTTTGGTCCACTTGGTTGGAAATTGCGTGCTTCCTCAAAATATGCTTCCAAATTTGATACCATGCAAAGCTCTCTTCTTCATCATATATCTCATAGGCTTTAAAAGTATTGCAACCTTAAAAAGAGTACTTTAAAAAAAAAAAAAAAAAAAAAAAAAAAGTGGAGCTTTTGGGCAATGACATAAAAAAAACAATAAATAACAAATAGATATAATTAAATTTTAATTAATTGAATCTTTAGTTATAAGGCTGAATTTAACAGGGACATGTCTTTAACCACAAAACCAAGTAAAGGGGAAAATAACTGTAGCATTGCTATATTTCTGGTTCTATCTTTTGCCTAAAAATACACATATATTATCACTAATGTTATATTAACCACAGACTTTTTTCTCAGAAAACCTACAGAAAATTTATATTTTTTTCAAAAATTTGTTTGCATTATATTTTCAAATCAAAACCAGCTGCCTAATCACATGAAGTATTTTAATTCATTAGTAAAATAGCCTGATAGAAAAAAATTATTCTACTTTAAATAACAGCAAGAATAGATTAACATTAAGAGATTAATAATTTAGAAGTCAAAAAACAAAAATCAGCGTTATATTTACAAAATTTTCACAGGACTAGTTTCGATGGTTTTACCGAACCACCATCCTCAGCTGCAAAACCGCAAATGAAAATGATTCATTTTTGCAAATGAAACCGCAAATGAAAATTTTATAAATATAACGCTGATTTTTGTTGTTTGACTTCTGAATTAGTATTTATTCGGCATGTTATTGTGTCTTAATTAAGAGATTAATTATTTAAAACTGTATTGCAACTATAAGGTTAGCTCCTACGATCCACATTACAGATCAGAAAAACTACTTCATGCAATATCCCCTTACTATTTTTAAAGAAACAAATGGTTACCCAATGAAATCTGGAGAGAATTTGGTTAAATTCATGAAAGCATATGTAAAAGTAGGAAAATGAAAGTGGAAATATTACTTGATTATCATGCTATATCATCCGGTTCTACAATGTAAGAATTACTGAGTATACAACTAAAGCTTCCTACATCTAAATATTTATTTTTTAAATATTTTTGCAAGATGCTCTATTTTATATATATATATATACTTATGTTTAGAAAAGTTTAGAAAATAATTATACTTACAAGTTTTACTTTCACCTGGTAAAAGTTTTAAGTCACAGAATAATATTTTTGGTTTTGTTGATAGCACAACATGGCCACTTTCACCTAAATATTAGAGTAAATCTGTTAATTACAATTCAGTTATACATAGCATTTTTAAAAATTAATTTATTATTAAAATTATGCATTTAAATGAAATTAATAGAAGATAGTTCAATAAAGATAATAATAAAATTTTAATTAGTTATTAATATATATTATTTATCCATAATCTACTACATATATAAGTTATATAAACAGTATTACTAAAAACATAAAATTTTTAATCACTTTAAATATAAATTCACATTTTTGGCTTTCATTTCAAAATATGTTAATCAGCTTACAATCAATAGATAATGCTTGTAACATTAAGTTTACTAATATGATAATACAGTTAGTTAAAATATTATAAACAAAAGTTGCAAAAGTTATGTGATAACAGATGAAGTATTTAATTTTCAAGAAAAGCTACACCCAAATATTTTATTTTAATGAAGAAGTTTTCCTCATCAAGGGATATGTAAAACATAGCTTTCTTAAAGTAACATTAAAATAGCTCAAAACTATATTTCAAAGATTAAAGCTCATAATTTATGTTACAAGATAAAAATATATTTGAAAAATTATTTTAAGCAGATTAAAAGCATGTTAAAAGGTTTTTGGAAAAAGCAATACACATAACATCAGTGTCATAATAATTCAAACTAATATCAAGTTCAATGTAACTGAATTTAATCAAGTCCAGGTTTATTGCTAACATAATTAAAATATTTTTCTCTAAAAATATGAAATGATATATCATTATATAGTTAAGTAGAATTCTAATATTTCACAACTCCTTAATCTGTCAACACTTGTAATCCATGCTCTCTTTTTTTTTTTTTTTTTTTTTTTTTTTTTTTTAAGCAAACAAGCAAAATTTTGGTTTTCTTAAAAAGTTCAACATGGTAAATTCCCCAGTAATTTTTCTTATATAAATATGTAAATACATTTTTAATTAAAATACACACTATATTTATTATATATTTTGATTGAAGAAACAAATTTCTAAAATTACTAAGTTATTCGGCATTTTATGTGTATACGTCAGTTTGTAGTAAACACAGAATCGAGATGTAAGAAAAAAGGCATTCGTGTTTACCTCGACATGGTATAAAAGAAGTGTCTTGAGAAGCTGTAGCTAATTCTTCTTGTGAAGCAGTGGCAGGAAATTTCACTAATGCATCATCAACAGTACATTGGCAATGAATCTGAGCACTAGCCCAGGCAAGAACTTCTTCTAAATCACTAAACAAAAATATATTACAATATTTTTTCCCCTAAAAGAAAATAAATAAGCTTTCCATTTCTTTTCAGAAAATTTCACTTTTTCCCACACATAATAAAATTTGAAATAAATAAAGTCCTCCAAATTTAAAAATGAGAGTAAAATATTGAAAAAAAGGATATAAAGGAAAAAAACACAGAGATTTTTCTTTCTAAGAAAGCATTTAAAAAAATTTAAAACAATAAACTTCATGAAAATACTGTACTTCATTATTATCAATAGGGAAAAATAAGCTAAATTTTGAAATATGTTCAAGAAATATTAGTCAGTTAAGAGAAACATTTAATTCAAGCTATAGTAAGTAACAGCAAGAGTATTATTGGATTTTACCTAGTATTCAAAGACAGAATTCTGATAATTATAAGAAATGCAAAAAGTTGCAGTGGTTCAATAAAAGAAAGAAAAGGACATCATAATGCCGATTTGAAAATAAAGAACAAAAAATGATAAGCTTCAGGAAAATTCAAATGTTACATAAAATCAACACAAGGTACTATGACTAATCATTATAATGATTTTTCAACTCAAAGGATCCTCAGAAAATGTCTACAGCTGGTAAAATTACAATTAAATCTACTTTAATTACAAGGCTACTAGTCATAACATTCTTTTTTTGTAGAAAATGAAGAGTTGTTATAATAACAGTCACTTGTATAAGAAATCCTTAAGATGAACTCAGAATAGAAGTCAGTTCTAAAAGCAGTGAAAAAAATCAATATAATATGATGTAATAGAAACTACACCTCTATTATTGTAGTCCATGTAATTTACGACAGTTCAAAGATTTATAGAAGATGAAAAACTTTTGAGGCATATCTTTCAAATTAAAAATATAATTACAAACAACTTGTAGCCATAAATATGAGTTAGCTCATTATTTAACATGATTCTTTACATGCCCCAAAATAAAAATGTTAAAATGAGTTATCATTATAATCAAAATTGATTTAATATACCCTCATGAGTTCTCCGAAAATAAGGATTTTAATAAGGAAGTTAATCCAGTCATTAAATACAATAACAACTTATTGTTTACTTTATCTCAAATAAGTACTTATAATGAAAAGAAAAGAACAGATTTAAGAAAGCATTCTTAATTCTAAATCAATTCAAAATAACCGAAAAAAAATCTATTTACTTTGCATCATGTAAATATTCATTTTCAAAGAAAATAATCAAATCATTAATGTGCAATATTTACCTCTTTTTACAAAATGTTTCTCACCTCAATTAAAGATGAGTAATCTTCTCTGTTTTCTTTTCTTACAGTATAATGTTTTAAAATATTGATAGCATTTACAATATTTTTTATGTTAGGCGTTGGTCTTAGATGGTTAATTGCATACCAAATTTGATGATACAAAAAATTAATATTAAATACACACTGAATTTTCTTGAGATAAAATCAGCAAGAGATTTGAATACTGCACTATTAATACAATAATGCAAAATTTACTTTCCTAAATGTTTGCTTTAATAGATAAGAAATCAAGGCTTCTCTTTAGAAGCACTGATAGCATCATTACGCTTATACTTGGAGGTAATAGTAATATAACTGAAAAATGATTGAATACAATAGCTATGATGAATTTCACTAACAAGACTTAAAAGCAAAACTGAGAAAAATTAAATAAGAAAAGTCAGTGTACTTAAGGGTAGAGAAGGAGTCAGATGAGTGACTGGCAGCCATGGTCCTCTGCTGATATATTTTATGGGGAATAAATTATCCCATCATGGGGAATATATCAGTTAAGAAAGGTGTAATTCCTGGAATGGCACATAACCTAGGAATACACCATGAGGTTCTGAAGATGACCATTATTTATTATCATCTCCTTCCATTTAGTTATATCCATTATGAAAGCACATGCATATGCATATAGTCATGATTGCTAAGAAAATACAGTGCTTAGCTTGTTTCAATGGCTGTGTTTCACATTTAACCACAAGCTGTTTATGAATTATTGGAATAAATTTTAGTCAGTATTTTAAACAGTATTTTCAGTCAGTATTTAAAGTTATTTAGAATTTTATTGTAGAAAAAATATGTTATTTAGATTTCTATTGTAGTAAAAATTATTTAAAAGCTATATATGTGTATATATAGATATATATAAATACTGGACACAAAATGTTTTTTATTACAATAATTCATGGTTTTAATTGAACTGCCTTGGAGATGGTATATAGAAAGTTTTCTAATTATATATATAGTCTTACTTTCCTTTTGTTTATTAGATTTAGGACTAGGTTTTGAACTTTTTTTCTTTTACTTTGCATTCATTCATTTGTATGTGTGTGTATATTATATACATACATATTAATACTTTTAATTACTTTACATTATAAGGGATTTCTCCCGCCTTCTTGGTGTGGAGATCTGCACGCTGGAAGCATATTCCAGAGGTCTGCAGTTCGATTCCTGGCAAAGGCGTTGCTAATTTTTCATCTCTCCAGCTTCCAAATTAGTTTTTCAAATTAGTTCCAAATTAGTTTCCTAATGTCTCTACAGTGGCACTCGAACTAAAAAAAGGGTGTTGAATGATGATTCTCCTCACCCAAGATTTGATGACTGGGCCCCCTAAAAACCCCAGTTGCCCTTTAAAAGGGGGAGTATATAAGGTATTTCTCACGCCTTCTCGACATGCCTTCATGATGTGGTGATCTGCACGCTGAAGGCGCGGATTCCAGAGGCCTGTGGTTCGATTCCCAGTGAAGGCATTGCTAATTTTTCATCTCTCTGTCTTCCAAATTACCCTCCTCTAATGTATCTACAATATATATATATATATGCAGTATTATTGCTTGTTTATGCATATATATTAAATTAATTGTCTAAATATTGAACAAATTGCTTTTTTGTATGAAACAGTGAATAGGGAGCCAGAAAATATATATATATATACAGTCAAAAGTCATTAATCCGGACTCGTCAGGACTTCGCCGATTCCGGATTATCGATTTTTCCGGATTATAGATCATCAGTTTAAATCTGGTAAGATGGCATGCAGAAATTACAAAATTAAAAATATGAAACCGTAATTTATGAAATAAAGAACAATTATGATCTAAAGGGTATCAAAATTTACAAAAAGAGAAAAAGCTTAATATTTATTTGTTTACTTTATTAAACATTTCTTTCAATGTAAGTTGTTTAAGTTGCTTCGTTTCATGTGATAATACTTTCTCTTTAATTCTATTAAACATACATATTTTCTTGTTTAGTACAAAGTTCCGCTGCTCAAGTCCTATAATTGCTGTGTCGAGAATACCGACTAATTTGTCAATTAAAATTTTTTCGTTTTCAATAACCTCTGTCACTTTCTTCACTATCGGAAACGAATTATAATGACGAGGAACTTGTTTTAAATTGTATCAAAGACGGAGTACATCGAGATGAAATACTACATTTGGTAAGGAATTATAAGCCGCATAAAATAAAAACATCTGCCCTGAAGATAAGGATAGTGCTGACAGATCAACTTCCAATTCATTGCGCGCCGCAGGCGTCCCCCCCCCGCCGAGCAGCGTGAAATTGATAAACAGATTTCGGATTTCGAAACATACTTTCGCTTTAGATCCTTACATATTAACAAATATATATCGGAAATTCTATTTGATATAATCGAAAGTTTAAGCTTACTTTTATAAAATTGCTCTAACAGTCTGCAAAAAATAATAAGCCGGATCCAATTCGAAGATTAAGGAACAACGCAATCTGCAACATTAACTGAATTAGATAATTTTAGCTTAGCTTACACCGTCCGTTATACATTAAATGCGCATGCGTAAACGTTTTGTGAGCATGCGCACAAGCATATTCGCAGCCGTAAAGGTCTTACGCGTGCACATAAACGCCTATGCGCATGCGTCAACGCGACGCACGCACAGAAAGTTTGTAGCTTTGAGGTCCGGATTATAGATCATTTCGGATTATGGGTGTCCGAATTAAAGACTTTTGACTGTATATATATATATATATATATATATATATATATATATATATTTTTTTTTTTTTCCCTAGCTAAGCCCACTATAGAGAGAAAAAAATGCTCTTTTAGTTTCAATTATCAGAGTTTACGCATATCTAAAAATGATTCAGTGCAAATCAACTTACTTATTAGAGTGACTCTGTTTCTGAGAATATTTAAAAGGGCTTCGAAATGTGACATGGCATTCAACCACTTCGCCAGCAAGAAAAACAGATCCATGTGGTAATCTTGCATGAACTTCTATCATCTGATAAAGAGAGAAATGAATTACTTCAAGCAGTTATATAGCTTTAAAATGCCTTTTTATATTTAAAAAACCACATTATATGACTGTGAAAACTATATATAAAATAAAAAAATATAATTTTTGACATCTCAGAAAATTAATTAAATAATATTGTTTTTTCAAACAATATATCTTTGTTAAAATTAGTTTATAAAAAGCTAAATACAATAATAAAAATGAGAGGGATAAGAACAAATTTGATTTATTGCCTATATACAATTGAACCTTGATTTACCAAACATGAAATTAACAATTTTCTAATTTTAATGAATTTTTTGCATTTCCCTGTAAGAGTAGAGTAAGAAATATTGATTTAGCATACATTTTATCCCAATTTAACAAACCGCACAAAAAAATTAATTCCCCCTTTTCTTATTTTATTTATTTTGAGCTCATTAAAAAATTTTTGCAAAAAAGCTTCCTTACTTCAGAAACTTTGTAATAGAGGATATAGGGATTTTTTAAATTTTCTAATAGTTACTTTTAATTTTGGAACTCTTTCCAATAAATTCTTATTTTTCACCTACAACTCCCTGCCAGAATGAGATTTCAGTATCACGTTTAATGTAAATGAAGTAGAACCAGTATTTAATGGGAAGTACAGTCACTTCTGCAGAAGAGCTCAGAAGTTCTCAGTAGAGCACGTTCTGCCTTCAGGCCACGTCATTACTTTAAACCTATCCTACTACGTCTGGCCATAGTCTTATGTGCCTGTTAGTATTTGCTGGTGAGGTTTAATTACAGGCCAACTCGGTTAGTTATTTTTGCACAGCTTCAGCTAAAGTTTAGCTATTTAGAATTAGTTTAATTCTTTATTTTTTATCTTAAGTTAAAGCCCAAGTGGAGGCTTTTCTGTAGGCCAGAGAGGGGATGTCTAAAGTACCTTTTGAGTGAATAAAAGAGTGTTTTAACCCTTCTTTGAACTTATATTTTACAGCTGTAAGAAAACCAGCGAATAGTTGCTAGACACTTCACTAAAGTTCTAATAACCAAGGACATGTAAATTAACTGAAACTTTATACTGGTGCCCAATAAGAAATTTACGGACCATGTCTCTGGAATCCGGAAAGTTCACGTTTCGGGTTCATTGGTGAGATAATGTGAACTGCAATGAATCCAGCGGATACATTTGTAGGAAAAGGTTCCATAATGAATTTCCAGGAGCAATTGGAACTCCACACTACATCCTGTTCTGGAACTACAGAAAGTCACTATCACCACAGCGAACTTAAAGGAACAAGCACTCAGCTGGTACAAGAGGATTGGAAAGTTCCTGCTCGGTGATCCAGGTTCCTAAACAGATGGCTGGGAGACATTCAAAAACACCTTTCCAGTTGTGAAAGACAGCACCAAGCTGGAATCGGACCTCTTCAGTGTATATCAAAGGAAGGAGGAAGAATTAATGGATTTCGGTCTACGTAAAACCCAAATATTCAACTTATTGTATGGACAGAAGCCAGATGTTGAATTAATTGAAGTTATTCTAACGTGTCTGCTTCCTCCTATCTATTCCTATATGGAAGTCAGGAACCCAAATATGCTTTAACGCCTGTTTCAACTTGCTGTGAAGTTTGAAAGCCGGCGAGACTCTGAGAGAGCACGTACAGCAAGTTTTGGCCACAACCAGTACTTGAGATTTTCACCCTAACAAAAACCACAGAATAGACAGTATCCTTATAGGCAGCTGATACGATAAAAAAAAAAAAAGTGGTAGTAGAAATAAGAGTCACAAAAAAAGCATTTGGCGATTGCCAAAAGAAACAACAAAAAAAAAAAAAAAAAAAAAAAGAAGGGGCTGAAAAGAAAAGTAATTTAAACTAATTAGAGTGTCCTAGAAGAGGGTCACCCCCCCTGAAGCAAAATCTCTTAGTAGTTAAAACTGAATACGGTCATTGTGCAAGATTTGGCTTTACCTGAAATTCAGATATTACTGAATAATATTCTGACAACTGCATTATTGGATAAAAGGGTGCAGTGCAGTTTCTTGTCACAAAAATTTTTCAAGAAACACTTCAGGACGCACAGAATTTTTAAACTTTTGGGGTAGAAAATAATCATGACTCAAAGGAAAAAATGCGAATGTCTCGGGAAAGTGGGCTTACACGTTCAAATTAAGAATGAGCATAAAAAATTATTTTTCTTGTAGTAAAAGATTTATTATCGTCAGTAATTCTGGGAGATGACTTTTTGCACATGGCAGGCATGAAATTTTAAGAATTCTACTCTACAGTTGCATGAAGGAGTGGGTGCAACACTGAAAATCCAATTAGATCACCAGCTGGAAGAGGAGAAGAAAAAGACTGAAGGTGTGGAAAGGAAGTTTTATAAATTATTTGATTCTAAGCATGGCTTTTGCCAGCTTATTACATATGCTACTGACAAAGGAAGTGCCGCCTTTCTGAAAAATGGTACTACTTTTATATGTGCCCTCAGGTCGCCAAATGAGGCAATATGTGTTCTGCACTGGTTTTTGGCACGATTGGGTATTCTGCGATGGTTTTGGGGAAGATGTTGTTTCAATGGCAACCCTTTTGATGTTGAAACTTACTCTTTCACTGTAATGGTTTTATTTTCACGTTGGTTCCTGTCGTGCACATTTTGAAATGGAATGTTGCAATGAAAGACGTGGTGGGAAAATTTCAGTCTTGTATTTTAGACTGTGTGCAAAGTAAATTTAGTATTAAAAGGTACCATGTTGGAATTGTTAACAGGTCTTTTGTTCACGTGTGTGTTTATGTGGATCAAAGTGTATTTTTGGAATTTCTGTGGGAGTCAGGACTTCTGAAGTGGGTTTGGCGTGTCCGAAATGTGGAGCTGATATGAGAAGCCCGGTACAAATATTTTTCCGGATGGCTGGAAATCCTACAAGGAAACAAAGGTTTTGAATATTTATTTATGAAAGAAAGTATCAATTTTATGGATAGTGAGTCTGGTTGTCATATAAATATGATAGTGATTACATGGCGGCATGTTAAAGGCAGCATGAAATTGGTATTTCTGCTGTTCAAAGAAGCATTCCTTCATGGTAAGTGCATTTTATTTTATTCTTATTTTGTAGAATGTTTTGTTCATTGTTTTTTAGTATGAATTTCTGTCATTATTGTTTTTTTTTTTTTTTTTTTTTTTTTTTTTTTTTTTTTTTAAATTTATTTTAGTTGAATTTTATTATATTTTATTTAGTTGAATTTATTTAGTTGAAATTTATTAGTTGAATTTAGTTAATTGAAATTTATTTTAATTTATTTTGTTGATTAGTGCGTAATGCCTAGATTGTGCAATTCGTAGATGATTTTTAGAGTTGAAACAAAATGTTGCGTACATGGTATTCTTGAAATTTACTGTTGTTGTATTAATTTATTAAAGCGAGGTGTGCGTAGTTCGTACATTCCTTCACTGCCTAGATTGTGCAATTCATAGATGACACAATGCTGTGTAAATGGTATTCTTTGAAATTTATGGTTGTTATGTTAATTTATTTAAGCAACGTGTGTGTAGTTCGTAGATTCCTTGCTGCATAGACTGTACAGTTCTGTGATTTTTTTTTTTAAATCAAAGAATATCACTGAGTACATGGATTCTTGTCAAATATTTTTGGTTAGAAACTTTACATTTTTGCTATCTAAATTTTTTGTTTTTGTTTCGGATTTTTTGCTTAAATTGTGTGTTCAAAACGTGGTTTTTGCACATGCAAAAATCCCACTTTTGCAGACATTTTAGGCTTAAAGTTTCAAATGTAGACAAAAAATTTAGTTAGTAATATGGTAGCATGGTGTTTCTTGCCAAAAATGTTTGGCGAGAAATTTGTCGCCAACTGAGGGAGTATATGAGAGTAGTTCCTGAAAAATAAACCTTATAAATATGATCAAGTTAAAAAAAAAACATTATTGAACAGCACATAAAAGACATGCTTGACCAAAAAATTATTATCTCAACAAGTAGCCCTTATACAAGTCTAGTAGTCTTATGCCAAAAAAAGAATTACTTTCCACCTTCAGATCTAAAATCATGGCAATTTGCCATTCACCACCGAAAATTAAATAGTACAGCAAAATATGCAGTGTATCCCCTGCCAATTATAAATGAAATTATTCAAGAATTTAAAACTACAAATTACACAACCACACTTGATTTGACATCAGGCTCTTTCTAGATTGCAGTAAAGCTCAAAGATGTAGGAAAACAAAACTTTTATTACAAAATCAGGCATTTTTGATAATGTCGTTTGTTTTATGTGGAGCTCCGGCAACATTTCAGAGAATGATGGACATAGTTTTAAGACCCATCCTAAATAAAACTACTTTTATATATCTCATAATATGTAATCATTACAAGTAAAACTATTGATGAACATGTCAAACATTTATAAGTATTTTCCTTACTAAATGAAGCTGACCTCAAAGTAAATGCCTCAAAACGCAAATTTGTATCTAAAGAACTTATACCTTGGATATAAAATTTAAAATAATAAAAGGCACAGAGACTGAAAATTCTAAATTTATAACAATAAAAAATTATCCACCTCACAACACTGCAAAGAAACTATCATCACCTTTGGGTATTTTGCAAAGACAGTAGAACCTTCGCTGGTTCTAAAAAGAAAACTGATTCATGTGATCGGCATGAGCAAATACAGCATTTGAGCAGCTGAAGCAGGTATATGAATGCTCCTGTGTTAAAATTCCTGAAAGGGGACTAAAATTTAGAAATTCCTGCTAATGCTTCGAACTATGCAGTTGGCCTAATGCTTTCGCAAAATGGGCAGCCAATTGTTTATTTTAGTAAAACGTTGAATCCAACTCAGTGAAACTACACAGCAATTGAATGGGAAACTCTCATCATACTCTTTGCTGTAAAAAAATTTCGAGTGTACTTCAAAAGCACCCCAACGACAGACCATGCTGCCGTTGATCATTTATATTCTGGAAAAAATCTTTCCCCATGGCTTATAAGATGGACAAGAA